CCCCAAAACCCCAAAACCCCAAAACCCCAACGTGCAGAATTTGAACTGAAACATATCTTTTTGGGAAATTATTCAACTGGCTCTATAGGAAATTAGGTGGGAATACTTACCAAGGAAGAGCTTTAAGTCAAGTTTTGGGAGTTTTGAGTGGGGAATGGAGTCTTGTGGTAGGCAGAGAGAATTGAGGATGTTTTGGCAGATTTGGGCTTCTTTTGTGAGATTTTGTTGCTTGTAGAAGTGTAAGACTGCTTTTATAGCTTGTTCTTTTGAGCCAGGTGAGCTATGAGGGTTATTGATTTTTAGGTATTGTGGGATTAGGACTAAGAGGTAAAATTTTATTGGAATTTATGAAAGATTTAGATTTATTTGGATGGATTATAAATAAATTTAGCATAGGTTTAGATAAAACTGAAAAAGTTATTTTTTGTTATCCTATTAATATTCTAAAACACTAAAATTAATAATTTTTGTTTTATTTACAATCTAATTGATAGCAAAGATGCCAATTTGACAGAATAGTTACCTAGATTGCCCAAAATTTTGTTCAATCCCAACTAAATTCGATCCATCTTTGGATTCTTCTTTAGTAGCGTTTAACTTGAAAGCAACAAACAGCTTGAGATCAACTATTCCTTTCATTCTGTCCACAGAATCAAACAGTTTAAAAGCTTTGGCACTCATCTTAAGAGCTCTCTCAATGTTTTCATGAGGACCTTTCAAACTGTAAATGTATGCAACTGATTTATAAAGGTTAGCCAAGCAAAGGTTGGACATTTCAGTTCTCTTCTTGTACAATTTGTACATTTTCAATGCATCTGATTCATTATTCATCCTAGAGTTAACCTGAGAGCACTTACAGTATGAGAATATTAATGTAGTACAACACGATTTTCTCTTCATTATTGAGGCCTTCTTTGGCTCTAGAGCTACTTGGCTCGTTGATCAGCAATTCAAGATTTTGAGTGTCCAATGAATTCATGGAACTCAGGTCAGAGTCAGTGATTTCATCTACTTCAAAATCAATGTCTAAATTATTACTTAGCTGAGCTTACTTTCTTTGCTTGGCAGAATTTGAGATAAAACTCAGCCAAAGGAAGCTCTATTTTCAGATAAAGGAAAAGTTCTCTCTTCAAACTGTGGTTCAACTCTTCGAAACTTTTTCTTAAAATCAATACTCCTATAAATACATGCCCAAATATTAGGTTCCATCTCAGTCAACTTCTGCTTGGTTCTAAGTGTCTTTTTATCATCATAAATCTCTCTACAGAACTGCTCGAGGACCTCACATGATTTCTCATGGAACTCAGCCTTGGCCTGAGGGTTCTCTTCGAGGAACTCACATGCACGGATTGTGATGAAGGGGAGTAAACTGTAGATGAACTCTCCTCTGGAGTTGGTCTTGTACACGATCAAGGAAGCTTTGGCTAAATCGTCTTTTGGGGATATCCAAGAGGTAGAACCCCAGATTTGGGTGATGTACTTTTGGTTGATCCCTCCAGGGAACATCCCTAGCATCATGAACAAGTCAATTGCTTTTGGGTTCTAAATTAAATAAGAGACTAGAATCAGTAACGAAGTTAGGATGAAAATTCTCTGAATATGATCAAAGAGATAGTGACTTACTCAGCTCTGAACAGTGGAGATATTCAACTCCAGAGCATTTCTCAAGGCGTCACTTGCATTTTTATCACTTCTTGTTATCTTATTGGGACTCAAAACGCTCGAATCTGATAAGTTATTGAATAACTCTGTCAATGATTTGTACTGAAGTAAAGGAGCAGCTAGAGAAATCGCCTGAGGATGCCCTCCTAGCAGTAAGAACAAAGGATGATTCACTAAAGATGGTGAGGCGTTAGTAAAAGGACTTGAATTAGATTTAGTTGAAGAAAGTAATTCCTTCATTTCTTCCTCTAAAATCTTTCTTGGTGCTTTTTCTAATAAACAAAGCAAAGATTCCTCACTAGTAAGACTCTGGAGGGGAAACTGCATTTCTTTGGTGTTAGATTTCAATTCCAAAGCTTTTCTTGATGTAAGCAAAAATTTAACTTCACTACACTCATCCAAGATTTTCTCGATCTCACTTGTGAAGTTGATCTCGTCTGAGCCAATAGGATCCTCACAGTTATCAAGAATAATGAGTATTTGCTTGTTCTTTAAAAAGTGATGAACAAGCATTCTATCTTCTATATCAGAATCATTTGTTTTATTTTCCTCGATTTCTGTTTCTGCTTCTGTTCTAATGATTAGAGACAAATTAGCGAGGAACATTTGTGAAGACTCTCAGCCTCTAAGACCAACATAAATAATTCCGTCTCTAAATCTTTGCCTGTGCTTAAGATGGTCTGCTATGTTTCTAGCAAGTGTGGTTTTACCAATTCCTGACAAGCCAAGGATGGAAACAAGTCTGTTCTTTGAAAGATGGTCAATAATATCATACATTTCCTTCTGTCTGCCAACGAAGTTGTCGATCTTGGATGGAACTGATAAGATTGAAGGCTTATTTCCTAAATTGACCAGACCTCCTGGGATGATACTTGTCACTGCTTGGCAGCGATGTTTTGAAGTTTTAGGAGTGTTGGAATTCTTCTTTCTAGTCTCCTGAGGGATCAATAGAATGAATTTATAGGCTTCGACACTTTTGAACATTTTATTGACTTCTTCCTTTGCAAAGTGAAATGATGCTCACACTGTATAGTTCTTAACAAAAAGTGTCTCATAGAAAACTCTCGAAAAACATAGTGAAGCTTTGTCTGCGATTTCCTCGCTCTGTTTGATGCAAATCACATGCTTTGCTCCTGCATTTAAAAAGACTTCCCCAGCAAACTCTGAATGGCAGGAAGATACAAATACAACTTCAAGGTTGATCTGAGCTCTCTCAATCATTTTCTTGAGTTCTGTTTCATATAAATAGTGGGACATTCATTGTTCATCTTCTAAAAGAAGAATGTTTCCCTTATGTTTATTATTGATATATTCAAGTCCAATATCCTTTTTAGTATTTTGTATTCCATGGCCTGAAAAATGTAGAGCTATTGGGCCATCAGTCAGTACACTTCTCATGTTGCTCGGAGTGGCTACCACTGATTTATACTTCAATTCATATTTCATTTGATTGCATGCATTGACAATGTCTTTAATTTCAGTTTGACAATCAAGTTGCATTATATTCTCAGTTTTTCCATTGAACCTTCTAATCAAAGGGGAAGCAAACATAAATGCTAGATGGAGTCTTGAATTAGTCATGTCAATTGGAACAACATTCCCATCACTTTTGAGTCTTTGAATGTGAAGATCCCTAACTCTGATTGCGTTGAGAGCAAGCCTAAGTTTTTCTCGATACTGGTCATTCTTCTTGACAATTTCCAAGTATTCCATAACACTCTGAGCTGATTGTATTGTCTTCAGACTCTCGCCAATATCCAGTTTAAGTTCACCTATTATTTTACATTTGAGAGAAGAAGAATGATGAAATCTTTGAAAATATTTTATTAATAAAACCTCCATTAACAGTTCTTGTATAATATTAACTAAAGAAGAAGGGAAAATACTATCGATAAAATACAAAATCCTTTCTTTAAAATATCAAAAATAAAGCAATAGCCAGACTCTGTTATACTCAAATATAATTTAAAAGAAGCATATTCTACCTAAAACCTAATTTCATCATATTTTGGCATAAAATCTAAGCACAAAGAAATTGCTAATTAAGCCATTTTTATTTCTGGTTTAAAACCAAGCTTTGCAATAAATTTGTTCTTGGATGACAATTACTATATGTAAATGTTTGAGGAGTTTAAAGACCATAAAGAATGATACTATTACAAAGAAACTTCTCCAACAGAATCATGTCTGGGGAAAGATCAGCATGGATACAATAGACTTACTCTTCTTGGTAAGGCTAGACTTGGTTCTCTTCATTTTTTGTTCAAGCTCATCTGCTTGATTGGATTTGTTAAGCTCTTCATGGTTAACAAACTCATCAAGGTATGTTACGGTTTTACCTTTAGTCTCTTCTATCAGATTTTGTTAAATCAGTTCAAAATAATAAATTCTGATTATTAAAACTTACCTTGTCCTTGGAGAGATTCTTCAATAACTACTTTAGCTTCTTCTTTAATTTCTTGTTTAACCTCTTCCTTTACTTGTGAAGTTGGCTTTCCTTCATCAAGATCATCAAACAACATATCATCCAGACTCATGTCACTGAGGCCAGCAAAATCGATTCCTTTAGCTGGAAGTGGAGCTTCTTGAGGTAGGTCAAAAACAACTTTATTTCCCTCACTATTTTCTGGCAAAATCGGAATGCTCCGGTTCTTGTCTTCATTATGTTCTGAAGGATTGGTCTGCTTATTTTCAAGATCTTTAATTAGCAAATCAAAGTTTTTCGAGTTAAGCGCTTTTAATCCAACGATCAGCTTATTTAATATCAAGCTTCATTGGTTCACCTGGAAGATCCTTTTGTTTCACAGTCAAGATACCATTTTGATGAAATTCAAGCTCCGCATTTTTAGCCATTGATTCTTGGTGAAGAGAAGTAAAGAACTTTTGCCCTAACTCTTGAAGGGACAAAATTTTAACCCCAGATAGCAGTTTTTGATCAAGCCCATCTTGTATATCTTGGAGGTAATCCTCTCTCAATTGAGGATGTAGATCAAAATCTGCATTCTCTATATCTCCACCGGTATCCGATGGATACTTCTGACCCTCCTTCTGTTCTTCTTTAGATCTTAACCTTCTCTGAAAATATTTGGCATCCTCTGATGAACCTAAAAACAATAAACTATTGGCTCTTCTACAAAGAAAAACAAAATTTAGATCCTAAAACCTCTCAAAACCAGTATACTTACCATCTGACAAAATGTCTTGTGAATATTCAAAATCCTCAATTGACTCACTCTCTTCATCCCTTCAGAACTCCTGGCGTCCAATGTCATATTCTCTCTCATCATCACTATGGATCTCTTTATTCATGGTAAATCCTAAAAATCGAAATCGTTCAAAACCAAGCTTTAAAGGTAATTATGCCCAGTTAGCAGTTACAAGGCAGGTGCAAAGTAGAGAAACTAGAAATTTAGTAATAGCCAAGACTCTTTCAGAAGGAGAATCACAGTCTTAGCTTAAATATAAGTAGTTACAAGAGTCCGAATGTAACATCAGCACTTTATTTTATATGCTTTGAGGAATATAGAGAGAGGACAAATGAAAATAAGAGAGAGTAAAATAGTGGGAGGAATAGGATTTTTAATGGCGAGAGTAAGAAGGTAATTACCTGGAATAGATGAATGATAAACACCTCTACTAATGCAAGTTGAAAGAAGTTATTTTATTAAATAAAGAAGCTTATAATAAAAGCTGCTTTAGAGTATTTTCTATAATTATAAGTAAGACTAATGGTTAATAAATAGGAAAAATAAAATAAGGAACCTTTTCTGGTATTAAGACTCTTCTAATCCTAGACTCACCATCAACTCCTTTATCATCTTCCTCCAAATTGAAACTTCCTCTGCCTGTTCTTCCTTGAAAGACCCCATGGCGGTCTATTCCAAGGAGCTTGGCATTATCTTCTTTAGCAGTTGTATTCTTTCTTTTGATACTTTTTGATCTTTCTCTTTTTCTCTTTTGTTAAATTAAAAAATTAGCAATTTCAGTTAATGCTGATTTATTAATAGTAGCTGAGCCTGATCTCCCACAAGTAGAGAATAGTCCTGATTTTAGATGAACAGGAGCATCAAAGTAACAATTAAGTATTAAGAATTAATTTGTTAAAGAAGGTATAAATTTCACCGAATTTTAGTCTCCTGGGATGGTAATCCTATCTCTAGTTTACCCTTAATTAATCTAGCAAAGAGTTTATTAGATTATTAATGAACAAAATGCTAATTAACAAAACACAAAGAACAAAACCTTCTAGATCAATTAAATGAATTACTACTATAGATTCTCTTAAATATGTCAAAAGTTAAAACTCAGGGAAATCTCATCGTTACAGAAACGGCCATACTTGAATTATCACCCAAAAATAACCTTTTAAATTCGTAAAACCACTGATTTCGTTAACTTCCATAATACGAACTTAAGAGTTTGGGCTGATTTTAAGATGTGGAAACAACACCAAATCCACTAAGTTTCGATTGCTGACGAACTGATTGAATTAACAGAGCTTCACATAAAAGTTAGCACTTGTTTCACCAAAGTATTTTCTAAAAAAAATACCCAAAGCATTTCTTTTGAATAATGTAGATTGTTCCAGAAACAAGGAGATACTTTAGGATAAAGATCCTACTCGATGACTTTATAGTTCAGAAATTTAGGTGAAAAGGAGACACAAGATAGACACCAGTTGAATTCTCATGGGGTTCGCCAGATCCTAGTGATATAAGAGCTTAGCCTACTTTTAGGGATTTTAATTTATTGATTTCTAAATGTAGAGATCTTTCATGATTAAGGACAGATGTATTATTAGAGTGCAAATAAAATAAACAAGATTAACTAAAAAGTCAGCATCTCATTTAGACTAGTAAAGAAAGCTACATTACTCATCGTCTTTTTCATCAAAAGTATCAAAAATTTCAATTATTCCTTCATCTTCTTCAAGGAGACCAAGCTTCACAAATCTTAATCAACCCAACTTAAGAGAAACACAAAATCTCTTGCTCCCCAAACCCTCCAAACCAAAAATCTCCAACCAACCACATCTCTCCCCTCCCCCTAAACCCCTCTTACCTCCCCCTTCCTCTTCCTCTTCTTCCTCTTCCTCTTTCCTCTCTTCTTCCCCCTCCTCTCCCTCTCTTCTTCCTTCTTCCTCTCCAAATCCCCCCTACCCCCTTCATTCCTCCCCTCCAATCCTCTATCACCTCCCTCTGGTTCCACCTCAGTTTTAGGTCTGCCCTTAACAATTCTTAAATCAGCCAGTTCATCATCGTTACAATTGGCCTCGTGTTCACAAAGACTCCCCATTTTATTTTATTTTGTTCCTATTTTATTTTGGACGGAGGGGTTTTGGGGTTTTGGGGTTTTGGGG